AAGGTGTAGGGAAGGTGGGATGGGTAGGGGAAGGGTAGTAAGGGAAAAGGAAAAAATGTGAGATAATGAAAATAAAGTGTTTGTAGATGGGGAAGGGAGGAGGGGGTGAAGGGAGGGCAGGGGTAAGGGGAAAAAATGAGAATCAATACTTGTCATGTAGAGGTACAAGATCCCAACAATGAATGTAACTGTACTGTATCCCTAAAATGTACCAATAAACTCAATTAAAGCTGAAAAAAAAAAAAAGGACCATGTACTTAGATGTTGAGCTTTTAGAAAGTGAGTAGATAATAAGAATTCTAACTTCACTGATGGATCAACCCACAGATGAATCAATAATGTGACTGCATTACTGAGAGGTAATGGCAGGTGGGTGTCTAGCTAAAGGGAGTAGGTGCTGGTGGCACACATTTGCAGACTATATCTTGTCCTTATCCCCTTCCCTTCTTGCTTTTCCCTTTTTCTGTGTTTCCAGGCTACCATGAGATAAGCAGACTCCTCCACCACATACTTAAGCCACTATACTGTTCTGCTTCATTTCAGACCCAAAGTAATGGAGCTGAAACTGTGAACCAAGATAAACCTTTCTTCCTTTAAATTCACTTTTCTTGGTATTTTACTAGTGACACAAAGCTAACTAACACAACTGGGCTTAAAGGGACATAGAGTATAGCTATTGGTAACATGCTATGATTACTGAAGCACTTTACTGTGACATACGTTTTCACACCACAGCTTCACACCCAGTAACATTTTAGGCTATTTTTAAAATTATTACATTTACCTTAAAAAACAAACAAACAAAACAAACCTACCTAAGTTTTTCACTTACCTTTAAGTTCCACTATCTAATAAATGAGTAAAATAGCTTAAATTCAGTTACAAAACAGGAAGTATAGAATGACTTAATCACAAATTCAGCAAACATTTCTGAAAATCCAGAGCGATTCAGTGTAAAGTCTAGATTCAAAACTCCAAACTTTTTAGATCACAAACTTCTTTGAAAATCTAAAGAAGGTTAAGGATCCATGGTAGGCAGCTCCTAATACAGCTCTAAGTAAGGCCACCTCGTGATATTCACAAGCTTCTTACTCTTCCTTAAATATTGGATGGACCTACCACTGTCCTACTGAAAAGAAAATAGCAAATGGAGGAAACATCTTTTCTGTGATTATCTTAAGACCATGACTTCCACCCCACTAATATTCTCTTGCTCTATTTCCTCTCCTGTTGATGTTATGAGATAGATACTCCATGAAGTCCATGTGGAAAGGAAGGTCTCAGTCCAACCAACTCCGGGTAAGCAAATCCTACCAGTGTGAACTAGAAAGGGCTGGACTTCTCCAGTCCAGCCAGGTTATTGCAGCCTTGTGAGAGCCACAGCTACAGGACTCAGCTGAGCTGTACCTGGATTCCTGACCCACAGAAACTATGAGGTGATAAATGTGCACTGTTTTAAGATGCTAATTTGAGGGGCAGTTTGTTCTATGCCAATAGGTAACTAAAACAAATTATCTCTGCATAAAAGTACACAAGTGTACAAACTCTAGTACACATTTTAGGGAATTAGGAGGCCTCTCTGAAGTCTACCAAAAGAACTAGTAACTCAGGGATTCCAGATTAAGAAACTTTTAATGTGATAAACTCAAAACAATGCACATAGAAGCTGGCAGGAAATTAATCATGCTATGTAGGATTTTATTAAAAAAAGTTTACTTCAAATATAATTGATATTTTGTGCAAATATTATTAAATGTAAAAAATCAAGCCAGATTATATCAAAAATTATTTTAATAACATATTTCATAGATATTAAATAAGTAGTAAGGATAAAATAATAAATGAAACACTAGTCAACTTTGAGACTTTACTGTCTAGTTTGTGAATGAAAAACAAAAACAAATGGACACACACAAACAAAATATCATAAGAAGAGGCCACGGATTTGGCTCAATTTTCGCTGCCTGCCTTGAAAGTGCAAGGGCCTGAGTTAAATCCCTGGCACAAAAAAACGAAAGCAATCATAAGAGTTAGTAATACAAATAGAGATTTGTGTATGGTATCCACTCACACAAAATATACTGTCCTTAATAAATTTTAATTTTAAAGTAATTAAAAAATAAATACCTGTACTGTTTTTCCAAGACCCATATCATCACCAAGAATACAACCTCTTCCTTGAATGTAGTGCCTATACAGAAACTGGGCTCCTTCTCGCTGGTAGTCTCTCAAATACCTATTAATAGTATAAGGAATAGAATCTCCATCTTCAGATAATTTAAAAGCATTAGCAAATGAAGGAAATTTTCTGTCTGGGAAATATGGTTTTTCCAAATCTTCATCATCAAATATAAAATTGCTGGGACAGTCTTTAATAGATCTCACTTCTTGAATTCTTTTAAGTGGTATTTTCCTTTCTTGAAAATTTGAATATAAGACAATCGCAAATGACTTCCCATTTTCATCCACTGTGATAGATTTTATGCTTGCTTCACAAAGTTTTTCATTATCTGGAAAAGGGGCAAGACATCTTTCTCCTGGATGCCATGTGTCTACAATAAAAGAGGGAAAAAATGCACCACGTAAACGGCTTTGCCAAAGAACTGAACAAGGCAAAATATAGAATATGTATATCTTTCTAAAATACATTATCAGATAATCTACAATGAACAAAACAAAGCTTATGTAACTTCTTCTTATGGTTCTTATCCTAGCTGTGTGTCATAACTCCCCTGGAGTTTTAAAACTCACCTCTGATGATTCTGATTCGGTGGATATGGGCATGGACATCTGATTTTATTATTGCTTGGTTGTTATTATTGAACTCACATGTGATTCTGATGCACAGAGTTGAAAATTCCTGATTTAAATATTAATGACTCAGAATATTACATATATATTATTCATATTACGATAGAGTAAAAGTAAGACTTGCCAATGAGTAACCTAAAATCCTCTGAGCAGCAAAGGATTTTTGTGATTTATCTGCTTTTCAGAAATTATTCCATCTCCTTTCCCTGGAGAGAGGTGCTTCCTCTTATTCTCAATATTGCTGCTTTTAAACCACAGCTTGAACTGCTATACAACCTGTCAAGTAAACTTCTAATTCACTACAGAATGATGTTTCCCTCCTAGGATTTGAATGGGTGATTTTTAAGAGATTATTTCTAGTATCTTTTGAGGATCCTATAATTCTTTAAAGAAACTGATCTCTATGCACTTATTCTGTGCTTACCTGTATAGTCATCTATTTTACTTTCCATTCCAAAGATAAAGTGCTGTGAAAATGGGAAGGTCTCTCAGAGCATTCTTACATTAATAACAATTAAAAGGTAGCAAATAGAGAAAGATAAGTAAAAATAATTCTCCAAATGGAATCTCTTCAATCAAAAATCTAAGAATTGCATGACTACACATGTAGGAATATTATGACTTATTCTTCTTACATATTTTTCAGTGAGACCAGATGATCATTAGTAGTTTCCTAGGGTCCTTCTGATATCCTCAAATTAGATTTTTCTAACATTCATGATTACAACACATTATTATAATATATGCTTATATTGTATTAAGCAAGGATAACTTCACTATATGCCTCATTAGTAGTTCCTCAAAATTCTTTGGAGAGGTAGCTTTACCATAACAATTGTAAATAGGAAAAAAACTCTTCTCCTAATCTAATCTTGGTATCCAAACTGTATTTTGAGAACTTATTATACTATCCCAAAGGATAGAGTTTGAATGCAAAATTAACACCCTGACCTACATATATGTAAAACAAAATATAGATCTGTATATTCATAATAGCCCTACTTCAACTAAAATCTTGGTCATCCCTACAGAAATTCTTAACGCTTTGCTTTACATGTTTGCCTGTCCAGTAAATACTTTCTCATTTTAAATACTGAAGTCAGTAATTTATTTGTTATTGAACATATATAATTCAAGCACCAATTATTTACCAGATATTGTACCATTCACTGGATATAAAATAAAGAAAACTATTATAAGCGATGTACTAGTTTTTCTGCATCTCATTAACTGGGATCATTTATGGACAATTTTTCAAGATAGAAAATTAGTCAATCTTTAATCTTTTTACATCACTCCTACATTCAATCTAACAGTATATCTTTCTGACTCTACTTCAATATTACTTCAAGTAATCAATATTACTTCCTCAAAGCATGCACCCTCTCTAAAACAAAGGCTGGCAATTTTGTCTGCAAAATGTCAAGATATTAACTAGAATTTAGACTTTGCAGGGTATATATTCTCTTGCCCTTGCAAAGGCAGCCACAGACAAAAACATAAAAAAAATGAACACAGCTGTGTTCTAATAAAACTTTATTTATAAAAAGAAGCATCTGGCTAGATTTGGCCATAGGCAAATTTGGTGAATTTTGGCCTAACACTTGCCACCATTAGCTTTCTCCTAAATTACTCCTAACTCATTTCCACTCCTGGTCCACCTTACTTAAAGATACCCTATTACTCTCTATCAGCATATTATTACTCCTCATGGCACTTATCAAAATGTTTAATTACCATGCCTACTTGCTGGTGACTGTGTCTTTCACAAGAATTGTTTAAAATTTTATACCTAGAATCAACACATAGCAGACGCTCAATAAATTTCTTTTTTTCTTTTGGTACTGGAGATAGAACTCAGGACCTTGCACTTGCAAGGCAGGCAGCAGCCCCAATGAACTAAATCCCTGGCCCCTGTAATTAATTTAATGAAAATATTCTTGATACCTAGTAAGACATGCTAAAAAGTACATAAACATATATATAATTGTAAAAAGTGGCTTTGGGAGACAGTACGATACAATACAGTGTTACGTGAAAGAAATATTGAAAAGCAATTTTAAAGGGAAGAGAGTGTTTCAGGTGGGACAGCATGTGCAAAACACTTGAAGGGCATCGCAAAATTATTTATAGGTATCTTTTTGGTTCTTGAATTTGGATAAATTCAATTAAGCTTGGGCTAGTAGCCAAACACCAGAATGAAGGACCAAATTGGGAGGATTTCCTGTGGGGTTGATGAACAGTGGTGATAATGTTCCTTCGGGCCTAGGCCCTTTCCCTTTTCCATTCCAAACTGCCCTCTCTTAGTCTTCAAACACGGCAAGCATGCACCTACCTCAAGACTCTTGCGCTTTCTGTCCCTTTTGCCAGCACTTTTCCCCTAAATACCAAAGTGACTTTCACTACATTCAACTGAGGAAACATCATCCCATAATCTCTACCAGCAGGTTCATCCATTTGTTTTTACCTGCCGGACTGCCATAGGTACTTATATTTATGGTCCTAGGATTAAGTGATCAATTCCTTGCTCTAGGAGTTCAAGCTTGCCACTACCTTTTCTGGAATTTACCTCTACTTTTGCCACCTATTTAAAGTGATAGACACCTTCTTCAAAGGAAAAGCAAGTAGATAAATAATCATAATACTGCTGGGCATAGACACTCCATACCTGGTAGCCTTGAAATATAACCATTATTGATGGAAGCTATTAATTTGTGGGCAAGAAGGCATCCCAGATAACGTGGCAGATAACCATGCCTACTTTCAATGCTTTTTCGGCGACACAGCAGAGGGAGTATATACATCCCTGTCTCAATAATCATGTATTAAGCTTTTTGTGCAAAGTAAATAACACTACCTTCGTTCATCTACGTAACGAACTTCTGTACACTGATAACTGAGGCATACGAGGATAAAAAATAAAAATACCTAACATTTACTGAACGCTCGCTGGGGTCAATGGGGAAGTCACATAAATGCTTTGCATACATCCCCTCTCATTGGACAGTCACAAGAACCCTGCTTTACAGCCGGGAAACACCCAAAGCTCCTTCGCAGGTCCCAGAGAGCTCTAGCGCCAGGGGCTGTCCGACCTGGCCAGGAAGGAGCTGGCGACCCGCAGCTGTCTCTCAAGAGCTCTCACCCGAGGGCTGTCAGGACCCGTGGGCTGGGCAGGAGGCGAGCTAGGTGCTCATACCTGGGCCGGCGGCGTCCAGGCCGGGGCTTGGGGCGGCAGGGGATTCCATTCAGCCCGGGGTTAGCGGCCAAGGCGAGCATGGCCCCGGAGCCCGGAGCACCAGCAGGTGGGGGAAGAGGGCGGAGGCGAACGGACCAGGAACACCACTCTGTCGTTTGGGGCCCGGCCGTCGCCGCCGCCTAAGGAGGCCAGGAGGCTGACACTGCCACACCTAAACTTTCCTCTCAGCGTTCAGCCACGACGCACCAACCATTACCACTCCCGCACCCAGTTTGGAACCCTGAAAATCCCGCGAGAACTGGGTCCGTTTGGAGCCGAGTCTCGCGAGAAGAGAATAGGTGTTAAAGTGGGAAAAGCGAGCTTCCCGCGGACTCCACCTGCAGGCACGTAGCGGAAGCCCCGCGAGATCTACAACTCTCGTGAGGTTTGCGACTGTTTTCAGGGTTGGCTGCAGAGAAACTCGCAGCAGGTCGAGCGAGGACTGAGTTGCTGGGGTTTGTGTCCCGGTGGCCGTGGTTTTCTGATTTACAGAGAACTCCTGACTCCGTGTCGTCGCTGCAGGCCGGCTACAAGGTGGACAGCACCTTCCTAGAACACGCTTTCCTGGGTCACACCTTGTAGTAAATCATCAACTTCTGAGACTACGAAACAAGCCAACATTCGCCGTCAGTAGATGCAGACGTGCAAACGCCGATAAAAATCTAGTGTTTTTCCCACCTCCTGCTGCTGCACAGTTGTGTGTGTAACGCAGTGGAAGGACCAAGTCACGAATGTGCAGGACGACAGCCACTTACGAAGGAAGCAGATGGGGCTACTCGTGGACATTTGTAGAAGCTGCAGACACAGAGCCTGGCCAGCTCCACCACGTGCTAGCATGTCTGCTTGTTTCTACCAGATCTCATCGACCGGGTTAGCCAAAGTGCTCCTGAAGTAGATTCCTGTTGGTGCAGTAACCAATTGCCACAAACTTTTGTTTTTAAAAAAAATTTTTTTTAATTTAAAACAGCACAGATGTGTCACAAGCAACCCTAATATTTATCAGAAGTCTTGAACCCCGTTAAACTAAAACCCAATGTCAAAGGTCTGAATTCCTTTCTAGAGGATTCCTTTCTCTTGCCCTTTTCAGCTTCTGTCTATATTCCTGGCCCTCTTTTTCAGAACCTGTGATATTGCTCCTCTGAACCTTCCCTACCAAAATCCCCCATTAATTGCAGCATGGAAAGATTGTTTTTATTTTTAAGAGCACTTAATAGTCGATAGGAATCTCATTTCCAGGGCTTTATCCTTAATCACACTTAGGTAATGGTATGTTTTGGGGTTCCAGGAATTAGGACACAAACATCTTTGTGGGCAATTGGTATTCTGCCTGCTCAAGGGCTTTAATTAGGAAAACCACATGGCTGTTTGTTCTGCAAATAGATCTCAATTTTTCTGGCAGATACTAAAAATGAGTAGCATGTTTTCATAAAATGCTATATCTAGAATATCACTTGTTTGCTTACCAGCAGATACAAAACATTGAAGAGAAACATCCAAGTCATCCATCCTCTAAGATGTTACCCAATTTAACTTCTCAGTGCTTTGTTAGACTTATCCATGATCATAACAATGAAGCTAATAACAGTAACCTATTTAAAAGAGGTAACTGTAAGAAATGATATAATGAAGTTAAACTCCTAGAACAGTGTCTGTTCACAATATGGAATATGTAGTGGGATGCATCCACTTAAAAGTTGCATGTTGCATAACCATTGTCTCAGCTTAATATTTTGGTTAGTAGTTAATATTACTAGATTAGATTGACTGATAGCCCGGGCTGGCCTTGAACTTGGAACCATTCTGCCTCAGCCTCCCAAGTCCTGGGATTACAGACATACATCACCACACACAGCTTCTACGTTAGATTTTAGACTTAATTCTAACTTCAGACACTAGTATAGGAAGTAGTTTCATGTATCCCTAAAAATAAAAAGCAACAGCTGATTATGATTGTAACCTTTGGTTCTAACATGCATCCTGATGTTAGGAATCTTAAAATCTAGAAAAATCATCTTGGAATTGATGAAGTATATATTCTCTACTTATGTTCTTTTTAATTCTCTCTAAAATCAAAATGGCAAATGGAGATTTCTACAACTACCAGAGAAGTCTGATTTTTTTCCCCTACTGGAATTATTGTGTGATAGTCTTATTATTCCAGTGGTGCATTGATTTAAATTGTGGATCCTTCCAGAGCCAACATCTAACTAGAACTGATCAGGCACATCCAAAGTTTTGATTTAAATGAAAGAGAGCATCTGACTGAAGGCATACAGTTGTGACTAACAACTGAGCACAGCTCATTTTATGAGTGTTTATTATTCAAACTCACTGCTATTGTTATAATGTGGATGAAGCAGAAATAATTGTGAAAAGAAAATTTCTCAGTGAACTAGGTACATCATCAAAGTAGGCTTCCTCAAACATTCCTTTCTCCACTTAACAATGACTTCTGTCATTGCCATTTGCCTTTATATCCTTACATAGGTGCTGATGTTGTGAACATCTAATACAGTGCTAGTGACTGCAAAGTAAGTTGTAATATACTCAAGAATTCCTAAAGTTATTTTAAGTGATGTTGGATAACCCAGTACATGCAAAACCATTGACAAAGAAGGAGCTAGCAAAACTAAGCCAATTAAAAATACAAAAATAGGGTTGGGATGTAGTTCGGTGGTCACGTCCAAGTTTAGATGATTTACATGAAATGCTCATAGGAGCTGAAAACTAACTTCTTAAGGTGGCTCTTATCCCACTACATTCCTGGAGGCATTTGCCTGACTTAATTACAAAAAAAGTCTGAGTTTTAACACTCTTGTGGGGACATGGTCTCAAGCTCATGCAAGGCCCCATGTTGGAAATCAGACTTACTCGAAATCAGTATTTGAAACATATTATTCTTCCTGAAATCAGGGGTCTCAAAGAGAAATCTGGACAGCAGAAAAAGAATGATGAAGAGGAACTTGTCTGTCTTGGCATGGGATTTTTTTTGGTGGGGGGAGTTGTGTTCATTTCCTCTACACTTTTTTTTATGTTCTCAACCCAATTTGGGATTTGAATTTATACAATCTGTACAATATAGGAAACTACAGGATAGTAGCAGTAATAGAATAGATCGAAGAGGTTGGGGTTTGTTTGTTTTTTGGGTTTTTTTATTTTTGGTTTTTGGTTTTTTTTGGTACCAGGAATTGAACTTAGAACTTGCAAGACAGGCAGGGACACCACTGAACTAAATCTCCAGCCCTCGGACAAGTGTTTTTAATGTAGCTAAAACACTGCATTCATTTTTTTAAAACTGAGCTGAAAACACAAGAAAGGAAATGAAAGTCAGTATCCAGAAAACACCAAATAGAATTTTAAAAGAGCATCTAGAAATGAAAATTTTAATGATTGATATTTAAAAGTCAATGGTAAGTAAAAGAATACATTGAAAATATCTTAATAAAAATTATAAACAGAAGAGCTAAAGAAAGACCCCAAATGCAGGGCAAAAAGGGCAAGCAGATAGAAAATACAAAAGGAGGGATTAAAGAAATGGAGGCTAGAAGAAAAAAGTCTAAAATTCAATTGGAGTTTTAGAAGTAATGACCAGGGAGAGAAAATGTTCAAATAATAGCTAACTTAGATTCAAGAGGTATAACGAATTGCATGCGTATAAATAAAAAAAAATCAGTAGATACAATACATTGAAGGTAAATTAAGATGAAAATCTTGAAAACACATTTGAAAAGACTCACTTTCTATCTTAAACAGAATAATTTAACTCACCACAGCAGCCTCTAGTGAAGCTAGAGTTTATGGGAGTTTATGGGAGAGAGACAGTAGGATAAACTTTAGGGCAAAATAATATTTTCAGCCAAAATCAAAGAATACAGATGGCTCTTATTTCATGGATTTGAATTCAGAAGATCTGAAATGAGAAAAGGAATGATCAGCCTAACAAAACTGCTAAATAACCACTGCGTAAAACAATTATAAATGATTTAATATGGATATATAAAATGAAGGCAAATTAAAATACTCATAATAATAACATAAAATGTGATGACAGTGCCATGGTATGGATATTAAATGTCCCCCATAAAGCTTGTCCCCAGCTTGGTACTTTTGGGAAACAATGGAAACTTTAAAGAGGTAGTCTTAGGTCACTGGGAGCATGTACTTGAAGGGGATATTAGGATTGTAGGTCCTTCTCTTCCCCTCTCTCTTGCTTCCCAGTCACCATGAGTTGAACAGCTCACTCCATCATGCACTCCTGCCATGATGGACAGTCTTGCCCCAGACACACAAGCCATGAGGCCACCCATCCATAGACTGAAACCCGAAATCCTGGACCAAAATACACTTCCTTCTTTTAAGTTGATTTTTCCCATGTACAGTAATTGTCAAAGTAATAGAAAGCTGACACATGAAAGAATTTGAGCTACTTAAAATGTTTCTATTGGAAAAGATGAGATATTGATCTTTTACTGAATGAAGCGCTCACATTAAATGTCAAGGTAGGGCCGGGTTTTGGAGACTTGGCCATTTTGGACAGCTGGTTTCTCAGGGGTAAAGTAGTAATAATGAACCACACAAAAGTATTTGAATGATGTCAAGGAGGACCTACGCATTCTTATAGTAGTGCTAGCTAAGAACTTTCCTGTTCCTTATTTTATGTTTCTCTTTTCATTTCAATCCTAGACACACCACAAAGAGCCTATGAAGTTGGAGAGGAAGGCAAGGAAGCAGTTACTTTCTTTCTATCACAGACTGCTTGCCTGTAGCAAATGTAAGCTCTGCAAGGGAAAGAGGTGTTAATGAATCATCAAGTTGTGTGTGTGTGTGTGTGTGTGTGTGTGTGTGTGTGTGTGAGAGAGAGATAGAGAGAGAGACAGAGACAGAGAGAGAGAGAGGGAGAGAGAGAGAGAGAGAGATGGTACTTATTAAGTATTCATCTGAGAATTTTTTTGTGTAGTGGCTGGAAATGATCACAAGATATTTTATTCTTTCTTTCTTTGCAGTACTGGAGATTGAACTCAGGCTCATGCAGTTGCCAGGAAGGTGTGACACCATTGAGCTACATCCCCAGCCCAAGATATTTTATTCTTTAGAGAGGCCAGAAAAATCATGGGATTTTTCTAGTTTTCTTTCAAGGACGTTGAGAAAAATTAGCTCTGAGTGTGGGTTTGAATGAGCATTGTGCAAATAAACAATCTTATATTTCATTCCATGAGTCTTGGTGTTAGAACTGAATAATAATAGAAATACAACATATAAAAGTTTATGGGAAATTGGTACTTACAGGTAATAAATAATTATATTGAAAAAGAAGAAAGGCATTCACCTTTGAAAAGAACAAAAGACTACCTAAAAATAGAATAAAAGCCGAAGCAGAGAATAGAAATTAATGAAAGAGTAATAAAAAATCACAACAGAGATAATCAGCAAAGTTACAAGGTAATTTGGAAAATTAGTGAAGTTGGCAAAACCACTGGTGAAATGCATCAGCAAAGGGAAAGACTCAGATATTAGGAATGAAAAATAGGACCAGGCACAGTGGCACACATGGATAATCCCAGCTACTCAGGAAGTTGAGGCAGAAAGAACTCAAGTTTAAGTCCAGTTTGGGTAATTTAGCTCAACTCTGCCTCAAAATAAAATGTAAAAAGGGCTGGGAAAGTAGTTCAGTGGTAGAGCACTTCCTTGGCATGTCGTAGGCACTGAATTCAATCTCTAGTACAAAAAAAGAAATGAAAAGATGCTAAAAAGCATTCAAAGATTTAAAACAATGGGAGTATACCATAAGTAATTTCTTGGCAAAAAATTTTTGATATATATATATATCCTTAAAGATGTGTCAAAAAAGAAAAACTAAGTAAATCAGTAACTGTTAGAGAAACTTCAGTTTTTGAAAATGTCTTTCCAAGAAAAGACCAGAACCAGGTGGCTGTACAAGCAAGATATGACAAATATTTAAAGAAATACATTACATTTAAAGAAAAACAAATATTTAAAGAAATACAAATATTTTATGAACTCAGAGAATGTAATACAAAAACAAAATTCTCCATTATTCTATAAATGATATTTATTTATTTTTGAGACAGGGTCTCACTATGTAGTTGAGACTGACCTGGAACTCACTATGTAGCCTAGACTGGTCTCAAACTCACAGCGATCCTCCTGCCTCAGCCTCCCTAGCGCTGGGATTACAGGTGTGCACCACCAGGCCCGGCTTTATAATTGTAATTTTTGACAGAAAAATCTTATAATACTCCATGACAAATGAGATTGCAAGAAAATTTTAATTCTGATTATATGCAAAAGTTCTAAATAAAATACTAGTCTACTGAGTCTAACTTTGAATAACACTAATGATGGTACATCTATGACCAGGTTGAATGGATCTCAAGATTGCAAGTATAATTTAAAATTGGATAATTTAGGGGCTGGGGATTTATCTCAGTGCTTCCCTTGCCTGCCTAGCAAGCGCAAGGACTGGAGTTCAATCCTGGGTACCAAAAAATAAATTAAATAAATAAAATTGGATAATTTAGTAGTGCATTAACAGATAAAGGAAGACAAAAATTATGAGATCATCCCAATTGAGAGAAAAATCATAAGATTCACCTACAATCTAGGTGTCAGGTGTGTTGCACAGGCCAATAATCCCAGGTCCAAAATATTGGCAAAAAAGCAACAGAAGGAAATTGCTTCATCTAATAAAGGTGATCTATTGCATGATAAAATATTAGATGCACTGTCTTTAAACCCATGAACATGATGGTTTCTGTCGCTATCCTGTTCAAAATTTGGCATAAGTATGTCAATAAAAGAATGTTAGATATAAATTATAGATATCAAAAGGATGAATCATATTGCTACTATTCACAAACAAGATGATAAAAAAGGAGAGAACCTGTAGATAAATTTTTAGGATAAAAGAGTTGTTTGTGGATACATGAGCAATTCATAAAAATAAACTGCTGCTGTACAGTAGCAAATTATAAAATACAATTTTAAAAGATACTTTTATAGTGGTAACAAAAATATCTCAGAATAGCTAATATATATATATATATATATATATATATAATACATATACAAGATGTTTAAAGAGTTAATAAAACTATATTAGAATCTTACCTAAAAGAGTGATATACTATATTCATGAAACAAAAACTCAATATGACAAAGATGTCACTTTCCCCAAAATTAATCCATATTGAAATTTCTTGCCAAATTACTGAAATGTTTCCCCCAGACCTTGACAAGGAGGTTTGTAACATTAATATGAAAGTATAATGTGCCAAGAATGATCAAGGTAACTTAAAGCAAAAGGAAGACTATTCAATAAATAGTGCTGAAACTTTTTCCACAGGAGAGATCAATTTTTCTTTCCACACAAAGCTAAATTCCAAGTAAGTTAAAAATTAAATGTAAAACTGAAAAAATTTTAGAAAGATTTAAATTAAGAAAGAAAACACAAGTTCTTTTCACATGTTGGAATTTTTTAGTCAGTTAACTATCAAACACCAAAACAGTGGTAAACTACAAGAATGATGAAGAAAGGAGTATGATTACACTATCTGTGGGGCTACACACAAAGCAGTTGCCTTACTAATCATACCTTTATTCTAACTCTGTAAATGAATCAAACTATATTTTATTATTTACATGTCAAAATTTGCATATTATTGATGCATATGTGGTTAAGATCAAAGCATTCCTTTTGGCATACTTTTGTTTTATTTAACGTAAGATTTTAATTTAAAAATAATTAAATGAAAAAGTTGTAAACATAAAACATTTATAAAAGGTCGATAATATAGATAATTAACTTAGGGAAAACAATCAAAATAAAACACTAGCATATTCATATAAGAATGTACTACTCTGTTACATTACAGAAACAAAGACAGGTTGTTTAAAATTTACATATAAATCAGTAGATTAACATTGCTTTAAATTAGTAAACAAATCAAGGCTTAATTACAATGGTATTTTAAAATACCCTCCTAAATGAAATAAATAAGTCACACATGTGTAAATACCAAATAGTTTCTCTGGTATGAAAACCTATAATAGTACACAAGATCCTAATGAGATAATTGACAATGTGAAATAGGAAGAAAAGGGCTAAAGGAGTAGGGAAAGTGCGAAGGGTAGGGGAAAGGTAATAAGGGAAAAGAAAAAATTCTGAGAAAATGAAAAAATGGAAATAAAGTGTTTGTAAATGGGGAGGCAAAGAGAGGGTGAAGGGAGGGCAGAGACAATGGGAAAAAATGAGAACCAAGACCTGTCATGTAAAGGTACAAGATCCCGATGATGAATGTAACTGTACTGTATACCTAAAATGTACCGATGAACTCAATGAGAGAAAAAATGAATAAAATAAAATGTCAAAACTAGCTTTTGAAAGCTAAGTGGAGAATTGAATAACATGTCAGATCAAATATTGACAAACAATACTTGGAGTTAATCCTTATCTCTCTTCCAGCACATATATTCCAAAGCACTGTAACACAGAAAATTGGCTGATATAAGTTCTATAGAAAAACTCTTGCTGAACTAGAAAATAATAATGAAAATGTGTTTTCTAAGAAATTAAACTCCAAAAATTCCATAATGTATTTGTAATAGAAATTTTCCCAAAAATGATTCTAATTAATGTGCATCATATTTGAATAACATCATGCTAAAGCAAAAAATGTAAATTTATAATATATTCCCAGCTTTCAGTAAGCAAGATAGAAATAGTAACTCCCTGGAACACATTAAAAATTATAGAGTGAAAAATGTTTTCTAACCTTACAATGGATTCCCATAATGGTCTTTTTTTTTTTTTTTTTTTTTTGAGATAGGGTCTCACTATGTAGTTGAGACTGACCAGGAACTCACTGTGTGGCCCCCGGTTGGTCTCAAACTCACAGTGATCCTCCTGCCTCAGCCTCCTGAGTTCTGGGATTATATCATGCACCACCATGCCCAACCCATAATGGTTTTTAAATTACATATCTGTAAGATTCATGTCAAGTCTAGACTTCTACATGATTCTATTGACGATAACTTTCCTAAGTTATTTTAGACCAAATCACCCATCTTTGGTGACTTTCTTTGAATTTTCATTGCCTGACTACTTCAAGCAATGCAAATGTTCTATGGAGAAGCTATGCAGACATAATTAAAATTTTTACAAGTTCAGTTTTATAGTGTGTCAATATACTTTGTAAATATAGTTGCCAAAGTTTTACTTTTCAAAAATGTTCCCAAAACGACTAACACCTTGGGACCATGAAACAAGGGTAAAAGAGTTCTGTGGTCATTGCAAGATGTGAAGACTTCAGTAGTTAATTCTGAATACAAATATATGTTCTTCTTTCTTAAGGACATTTTTATTACACTGCCCTAAATTCGTCACTATATTTGAATGAGATAGTATGACCTTGGCATTGACAATGTTTAATTGAAAATAAATTAACTTGAGAAATTAATTAAGGCATGAAAATATGAAAATCATGTAAAGGTAGTGAGTTTATTTTTAAACTGGATACTGTTTTTTTTTTAATATAAAGCAACTCTTTCAGAGCAGTTCTCTCCGATTTATGCATAGATTATTTGACAGAATGGTGAAATATCCCACACCACTTTTGCACAGTGGAAATGCAAAACCCAAAGAATTCATATTTTTAAAACTGTTAACACCTTCTCAAGTTTCAATAATTCATTCAATTTCTGTAGAAAAAGCACAGGCTTTATTTTTCTTACTGTTAATTATTTATGTTGCTCAGTTTTACAAATAGGCTCTCAATATCTGACAGCCTGCAAGAATTTCACCTCCCAAAGCATTTTTTCCACATCGTTTTGCATTTATCAACGTCATCACAATAATTCATCCCATGGCTGTGAATTATCTTCAAATTTTTAATATTTACAGCCATGAGAAGAGCTATCTTTTTTTTTATATCAACATCATTTTTTTCTTCCCAAGAAAGATTCTTTTCTTTCTTAAATTTTTGGCACCTTGCACCTTTGCATACCTGTCGGCAGTGCTGGAATGTTAGGTGATAGCTACAAGAAACAGAATATGAAGGTGACTCTAGGGTTCA